GGCAGGATGGCATATTACGCGTTTTTGCCCATCCTATCCCCCTCCCTCCGCCGACAAAATAAACGAAAATTTTCGCGGGCGCCACATTGCCAGGGCTCCTGCCAGCCATATATTATAATCATTGACTTTGCAAAGTATCGTGCGCTAAAAGCCAGCTTTTTAGGTAAGTAGGACCCTAGACAAGCCGAAATAATGAAAATATTCACAACAGCGGCAAATCACACTTTTATCGCTTTTTTAACAAGACTCCGCCGCTTAGCTCTGCCCGGCGACACGTGCCAGTAACGAGTGCTGGGCAGCCGTGATTTGTTAATTTGGCAGTGGTAACGTTTGTAGTTTAGTTTGTAGACGGGGTGTCCTGTTCTCCTACCCTGGCCGTCTACCCCCACTCTTTCCTAGTTTCTATCTATCGTTTAGTTCTCGCAATTGGGATTTCGGCCTACAGAATCGAGCAGGAGACTTCCAATGAATTTACTTTTTTAGCACGGAGTCTGCAGAATAACGCTTCCTGTTGCAGAGCCCTGCACGAGCCTGCGATAAAACGTTTACAAAGATGAAAGCCTTTAGAGCTGGTGATGGCCAGGCTAGGCAGGCAGTTCACAGTTTTCCCGTGGTTCAAGCGAAACCCACACAGCCGGCGTCCTTGCTCAAAAACGATGTCGGGCATCTGGAACGGAAAATATGGTGTAGGCAGATTGGTAAAAGGACATATTGAGGACATGTTTTTGGCACCAGGTGGACAGCATCGAGCGATCTACATCAAACAAAACGTACAGCTTATAAATAGCAAGAAGCCAGACGAGAGTGTTCAAGACCTACTCAATAGCTACGACTCTCTTGTCACCAACCCCATAATAGCGCCGATCCTTTCATCACAAACCTATTCAATAGCCCCGACTCGCTTAGCGCCAACGTACTCAAAAGCTCAGGCTCTTTCGTTACCATTTTACTGCACTCTGCACTCCGACCCTAGTGTCACCAAACTACTCAATAGCTCCGACCCTCATGTCACCAACCTACTCAACAGCTCCGACTCTCTCGTTACCAAAGTACTCAATAGGTCCAACTCTCTCGTTGCCAGAGTACTCAATGGCTCCGACTCTCTCGTTACCAATCTACTCAATAGCTCGGACTCTCTCGCTACCAAAGTACTCAATAGTTCAGACTCTCTTGTTACCAACCTACTCAACAGCTCCGACTCTCTCGTTACCAAAGCACTCAATATCTTCGACTCCCTCGTTACCAATTTACTCAATAGCTCAGATCCCCTCGCTACCAACCTATTCAATAGCTCCGTCTCTCTCGTTACCAACCTACTCAATAGCTCCGACTCTATCGTTACTACCCTACTCAATAGCCCCAATCGTCCTGCCGACAACGCCACACCGAGCATGCCGTCCGGGGTGACTGATCACAGCCACGGTCAGCCTCTCCAAAAGCCTACAGCAGCGCAGCGCAGCAGCGGACGGCGGCGTTGCCAAGCCGTCAGCCGTCACATGGGGCGCTGCACTGCGCTACAGCAGTCTGCCCCTTCGGATGGTGAGTAGCCGTCGCATGGGGTCCTATGCCACATCGTAATAACCTGCTCTACCCACAGCGGACAGCGAGAAGCCGCCACATGCGTCCCGTACTGCGGTGCAACATTCCGTCCCAACCGTACCAGACGGCGAGTACAAGCTTCTGGTAACAATGCGGAATGATGAATTGATTCCCAGCGTGTGGCTCCAGACTTGCCGTGCTGGCAGAGCTTCATGCGTACTTCGATGCCTTCTGGAAGGCATGCCATGTAAATGAAGAATTTAAGTATGCTGCTTCGCATTCAGATCAGTTTTTCTTAAGCACGAAAGCGCTCCAAATTCCTCACCCAGATGCCTGACGTGTGGCGGTTTTCTTTGATGTACAACTGCGAATGTCGGGCGCCCTAACACGCCTTACATTGGCCGTGAAGAGTGCCTGCTGCGGGCTTCCTAGCCCAGGCAGTAATAGCAATCGACAGGTATTAGCAACAGTGCCGCAACTCCGACTGCTCAAGGCGTCAGATGACTGCGTCACGCAATCACCAGAATAGCTCGAAGGTCCTGCTAGGACTGGGGATGTCACCCAGCAGCACAGACAATGGGAGCGTGACATTTCAATGCTGCTAACCGCGGCCTCCTGTACTAGTGCTAAATCTCTGCACTAAACTGCGCTAGTGCAACGGTGGCGGATTGACCGGCTGCTCGTTTATGACGGTCGGTTGGTAGAGTTGTCACGGCCACAGTCGACAGCGTGGCTAGGTCATGACAACGCGCATGCGCCCTGGACACGCACCATGCCTGGGTGGCGGCCCTGTCGCGTGCTTCTCCCATGCGTGTGGACCGCCGGGCATCTGGCCGCGCCGCTCTCGCGTGCACCGCTCGTATGCCTCGTGCGTTTGGCGGCTACGCTCGGCGCCGTTCTTCCTCGCGGACCGAACAGAGCGTGACCTATCCTCCCAGTCGGAAACATCCGAGGTCTTACATGGCACAGCACAAGGAGGTGGACTTCCAGAAACACAAGACGACAGAGGAAGTACTAGCCAATTCGGTTTTGTGGCGCCGAAAGATACAGGAACAGTTTTTTTCATCCTTTAACCTCAAATAAATATGTTGTGCAACACACAGTGCACAAATTTTGTTGTGCTCTCCTCGGACATACAAGAGGGACCTACAACGAACTCTCAAAGCATGCCAAGGATCAGCTGTCCCGCAAAGAATGCATGTTTAGTCATCATTTACAAATATATCAGCATCGCATCTCCGCACCAGATGGCACGTGCTTGCTCGGAGCGTGGGACATCGCAGTCCGGGCTAAGCTCTCAGTCCCACAGCTCGGCTACACCGGGACAGCTCGGAGGGCAGGTTGACCCTCACGGCGAACGCTCCAGACTGGGCCGCCAGACAGCAAAATAAACCTTCACTGAGATAAAACGTTCCTTCGCTGATCTGCTTCAATTACAGTACGCCTAGCCGTGGAGCGGAGCTGAAGCTACACTGTATACTGGCGACCGAAATGTTATACCTGACTAAGACTTCATTAACGGGATATTCAGAACATTCCACTTCGACGCATTTTACATCGTCATTGCACGCCTACGGCGCATTGTTACTGTATTCGACGGCTGTGACGCACACACACAAATATGTATTGACATAGGTCAGTTCATAACCAACTGTGCCCGGCAGAGCACACAATCACAGCAGTGCGGGAAGGTGCCCGCACGTCAAACTACACACGCGCCATCGCGAATTCATTGGGCTACCAAAGAGACGACGCGCGCCTCCCAACCAACGGCTGACCGGACCGCAAGGGGAGGGCGGGGGGGGGGGCACTGATACGTCACGGGACTGGAACCTCTCGCCACCATTCTGACGTGGCCTGTGAACGAGAACACCGAACAGACTTGACTGAGCCGGCCGCGCACGGTCCTCAATGCTGCACAGGAGCAGTCCCAGTCCCCTCAGACACTGCTGGGAGTCTGCCGGGCCAATACGGGAGGTCGGCATCGGGCTGAGTTCGAGGCTCAGCAGCGCCCCTCGCCGCCGCGTGCAGGGGTCAGCCCGGGCTTCCCAGATGCTAAGGGCGGCCCAAATGCGGCCGGCATGGTCCCGACCTGTATGTGGGAAGACGAGCAGGGCCAGACCCTGGTGACCCTGGTCCCCGCGCACCGGCGCGGCCGGTCAGCAACACGCGCGGAGCTGGAGGGCGCGGCGGTGTCATGATGACGGGCTGGCCGCGAGAGACGTCCAGAGAGCCTGCTCTCCACGGGGTCAGGTCAGGTCAGCTGCGGGCTTTGGGCCTGGGTCCGTGCCGCGCCGCTAGCGGCCGTAGCAGACCGGACCCCGCCGGCTGAGGTGTGGCGACGAGCGAGCACAGGTGAGGCCGCCCGCCGGCCAGGTGCGGGCCGGCACGCCTCCGGCCGCCATCAGCTGTCTCGCGGAGCCGTGTAGAAGCTGAAGCCGGGGGAGCTGGAGCTGCTGCTCTCGCGCTGCTGCTTCTCCTGCGAGCGGGCACCGACGCACGACTCAGGAGCACCGCCGCGGCCCACCACTCCAACGCAAGCCCTTCCCACACCAGCACAGACACTGCGCACACATTCCTGCACGCATTCAGGATACACGACGTTCCGAGCCAAGCGCCACAGCAACCCATTCAGGAGCGCGCCATGTGCGCCCCATCGACCGGCCACCCACCTGGAAGTACTTGGAGGATGCCAGCGGTACTGGCAGCTTGATGGCCGGCCGCGTGCCCTGGTGACCGGAGCCGGGCACCAGGCGGGGTCGGCCGCGACCGCGCCGGGTCGGCGGCGGCGCCACTGTCGGCACGGAGGGGTCAGAGGTCACAGTGGGTCAACGGTCACCGCCACAATGGGACAGGCGGTGTCAGTGGCCACAGGCGCCACGGGACAACGGAGGGGAGACAGCAGGTGTCGGAGGGTCCGGCGCCGACCAGACACGGGAACAGCCGAAGAGCACCGGACACCTGAGTCATCGCACACCAACACGCCCGGAGTGAATGTGGTGACACAAGACGGGCAGGCTGCCAAGCTGATGGCGTTGCCTCAGACTACTGGCGGCGCGTGTGTCGCTGACACGGCCATGTTCCTGTTCCCACGCCGCGCTCGGCTGATCCGCGGCCGATCCCCCTCTGCCCGGCGCCATCCGTGCAGAGGCGCCGCGGCCCCGGCAGGCCAGCGTTCCGCCGCGGCCCGCACCACACAACACGCGTCCGCCCGCGGTGAAAGGCGTCCGCACGCGGCCGGCCACGGGCTGGGAAAAACGCTCCGCCGCCGGCGCCGATCGCGTGCGCCGCGTGCAGGTGCGCCCGGCTCACGTGCAGGGCGACACCGGCGCCGACACAGAGGGGACCCCGTCAGCGGCCGCTGAGGACGGCCGCCGGCCGACACGCACCAGCTCGAGCCCGCACCTCAGCGCGGTCACCGACCTCCAGCCCGGCTCGGCTGCTCATCAGCACTAGGTCGCTCATAGCGGCAGCGGGATGACCCCTAGCTTATAGAACTCCTGCATGGTCTCCTCAAAGAGGACGTCCATAACACTGCCACCTCTTGCCGGTGAGGGCAAGGTGACGAATACATTTATGGACAAAATTAAGACCTCGGATGTTTTGGTCGAGATTCGCCGCTGTGAGGTCCACCGCCGCAACAGCTCCCAAAGAGATCCTTACGCCTTATCAGCACTCACTACCAGCCTCCACACCCTATCAGCGTTCACCACCAGTCCCTACACCCAATCAGCGTTATCCACCGACGGCACACCCAATGGGCGACGTTCGACGGCTGGCGGGCGGGGCCTGACCTGCGGGGTCGACGTCGTCGGCCGGCGCGCGGGCCTGGCCGGGGTCGGGGGCGTGGCCGCCCCGACCGCGGCCGCGGGACGTACTGCCGCGCGGCCGGCCTCGCTTGCGGCCGGTGCCCCTCTTCCGCCGCGGTTGGTGCAGGTCCAGGAAGGACGACGGCGGCCCTGCCGACCACAAACAGACTGAAGAGATGCCCCGCCGGGCCATCACGCAGGCACGGCGTGTCGCCCCGGGGCGACTCCAGACATGGCACGGGTCATCTCAGATGAGCGGTCGGACCAGCCGGGGACGACACACGTCCACTCCAGCTACAGCCGACACGAGCTACCCCAGGTGAGATGACAGACCAACCGGGGACGACACACGGTCCACGCCAGCTCACATCCAACACGGACTATCCCAGGTGAGGGGACGGACCAGCCGAGGACGACACACGGCCCACGCCAGCTCGCAGCCGACGCGGGCTATCCCAGGTGAGATGACAGACCAACCGGGGACGACACACGGCCCACGCCAGCTCACAGCCGACGCGGGCTATCCCAGGTGAGGGGACGGACCAGCCGAGGACGACACACGGTCCACGCCAGCTCACAGCCGACGCGGGCTACCCCAGGTGAGCGGACGGACCAACCGGGGACGACACACGGCCCACGCCAGCTCACAGCCGACGCGGGCTGTCCCAGGTGAGGGGACGGACCAGCCGAGGACGACACACGGTCCACGCCAGCTCACAGCCGACGCGGGCTACCCCAGGTGAGCGGACGGACCAACCGGGGACGACACACGGCCCACGCCAGCTCACAGCCGACGCGGGCTGTCCCAGGTGAGGGGACGGACCAGCCGAGGACGACACACGGCCCACGCCAGCTCGCAGCCGACGCGGGCTATCCCAGGTGAGATGACGGACCAGCCGAGGACGACACACGGTCCACGCCAGCTCACAGCCGACGCGGGCTACCCCAGGTGAGATGACGGACCAACCGGGGACGACACACGGCCCACGCCAGCTCACAGCCGACGCGGGCTGTCCCAGGTGAGATGACGGACCAACCGGGGACGACACACGGCCCACGCCAGCTCACAGCCGACGCGGGCTATCCCGGGAGCCGGCTGCAGTCGAGGAAAGTACGGACATCGGCCCAGTCATTCATACACGTAGCAGCGCGCACGCCAGGCATAGCTTGGCTGTATAAGCTTAGCACCGACTGAGGCATTTCGCCAACCGCGACCGGCTGGGGAGGCGGAGTAAACCGGATGGGAAGCGGGATTGAACCGCTCTGTCTAGAGATCAAATGGCAGAACACAACACGGAAATAACTTGCCCTCATTTTCCCGGTTTGCTCGAGAAATTAAGTCCTTTTGGTCTTTCATTGATGTTTAGCAACTTGTTCGTGCTTGGGGACCCACTTTGAGTAAGAAGGCGGGGGGGGGGGGGGGGGGAGGGAGGCACAAAAACGGGCGGCCAAGAGACCAGACCAGAGCATGGTCAGAGAAGCACATCTCTGACCATGTTCCCTAGCTTCCGGACAGCTCCAGGTAGGCCCACTAGATTTTCAGCGGCCATCACGTGATCAGTCTGACACACTTCAGTAACAAACATACTGGTGCCAGGTCAGGTCATGATGCTAACAGGTCATAGCCAAAATGTTCCCGGCTGTCTGGGCCTTCAGAGAAGCAAATGAAAAGTTTCCCTTCGTGTGTTATCTATATTGTTTTCATGCAATACGTCATCTAGTCTGATGCCATTCCAGTCAAACTCAGGTATACGATGGTAACATCCAGTCAGCATACAGGGCATGCCCGCGGGGGCGGCAGGTGGTGCTGGCCGCCCTAAAGGTCAGCTGACGTCAGAGGCGGGACGGACCGTGCCGAGCATTGCAACACGATAAGCCTTCGCCGCAAAACTCCGACGCTGACCCGGAATTTCACGACCGGATGGTGGAAGCCGTCATCACGCGACGACCACTGCTTAGCGTGAGACGGATCCCAGAGACATGCCCAATCAAAAATATCGACATACATACCGGGAAGATCATGTCAAGTCAACTCGGAACTGCTGAACCTACTTGACTTGACTTGACTTGACGCAGCCACTTCTTACGAGCGCTGCTGAAGGCCAAGTGAGCCTGACTTAAATCATGGGAAACATTTCAACTTGAGCGACCCGGCACAGCCGTCACAGTTTCTAGAGGCTAATACCTTCGCGACCAATAATCACGGGTTCATACAGTTTTCAACAATTGGAACCCGGCACAAGTTTGTTACCTATAGCGTAAGCCAATTCTATGGAAGCTGTATCTATCAGGCGAAGTTTCCATGTAACACTGCAATATGGCCACGATTTCATTCACACCTTTGACTACCGTGGACAGGCCATACACAAAAAAATCGAAGAACGCGGGGCGAGACCAGGTCCACATTTCGGCGGCACGACGTCGCAGTCACACGAAGCTAGCAAATTCTGACGCAGAAAAGAGGTTAATTGTACGGGGAAGTGTCTGTGGATTTTGTGCATGATCATGCGCCATTGTGCGCAAACCAGTCCGTTTAACGCATAACCATGCTCCATCGTGCGCAAACCAGTCCGTTTTGCGCATGATCATGGGCCATTATGCGCAAACCTGACCGTTTTGCGAATGATCATGCACCATCGTGCGCAAACAATTCTGTTTAGCGCATGATCATGCGCCATTGTGCGCAAACCAGTCCGTTTAACGCACAATCATGCGCCATCGTGCGCAAACCAGTCCGTTTTGCGCATGATGTCCGTTTTGGGGAGTTTTTCAGGACTGATGTCAGAGCCCGGCGGCCAGAGCAGATGAAGACGCAAGACCAATCGCACAGTGTACGCCATCGTATCGGCTACCACTCACCGACGAACGTCAGAACGGTCAGACCCATAGGCGCGCCAATAATCAACGATAAATCGGTCGACGACACAACTTCAGGAGCCAGCCCCGCTCACAGGGCGCTCGAGCCAAAACGGGGAGAAGTTGGGCCCCACAGATAACACAGGCGCTCTGCCCTGTTTTCGTTATTTTTGAACACTAGGGTCACAACTGCTCAAATTGTCAGCCAATGCACCCTGATCGATGTCGAAGACTGAGCAGTCAGCCAGTTCTGAACCAACGCTATCCGTAGGCCAGCGGGCTCATTCCACATTTGCCATTGGGTGTCTAACGATTACATCATCAAGAAGGGTCGACTTGGCAACGCAATGGTCAACCCACTGATGCCGGTTGCCGGAGGTATATCACAACATTAGTTTATTTGTTGGTGTCATCGTCGAGATGAGCGCTGCCAAATCTCATCTGTTATCGTCTTGCGCTATCTAAGCTGTGCACAGTGCCCTCCTGGTCACAAATCGGAAATCGGCCACAAAACCAGCCACATTTTTTGCAAGCCAATAACCATTGGCCAGGTCTCCATCGGTCAGAATAGATCACACGACTCAAAAGAACACGTATATGACAGCAGCTGAGTTTGACCTGGCTTGACTTTGATCCGACCATGAACGTTATTGTTAATATTGAGATATGTTTCTAGTACGTACGAAGACGATCTTCGAAGACGATCAGAGAATGCCTACTGGCCAGGTCCTCATTGGTCACAGCATATCACGTGACTCAAAGGAAAACATACATGGCCTTACCTGACCTTGACCTGGCTTTGCTTCGACCCAACTTTGAACATTTTCCGTCACATTGTTGGCACACGGCTCCGAGACCGTCACACAAACACGATTATTGTACGCACTTTACGTGACCTGTGACGTGAGTCACGTGCACGCTAACTTCATGTTCTCCAGGTGATAATGGCCAGAGCCGTCGATGGCTACTTAAGTCCCTCCGCCTCCGCGCTTAGAGCCTGCGATGGCAGGAGTGGGCGCAAAGTACCCGTCTGGGAGCGGTAACGGTCACGGTCGAGCCAGGCATGCCCGACGATGCCGGCTGAAGGCAGCCAGGACGGCGCCACCACCAAGCGATTGACTCGACAATGCTACAGTCGGGACATAAAGACAACCGTCCCTGCTGGGAAGACACAACTGCTCGGCAGTTACTGGCAGTGACAACCAGCGAAATGACATTCGATGCCCACGCGTTCGCGATATTCCAGCGTCATCATGGACAGACCCAGTCGGTGAGATTGACCGGGGGCAGCGTTGCCGGCGTTGAGCGGCGCCGATGGGACGTCGCAGTGACACCAGCTGCCGCGGCAGAATCCCCGCGTGGGCAGGGCAGGCCAGGCCCCGACGACCCAGTCTCCGGACTAGGACGGATTCGGCGGCAGCAGCGGAGCGCGCCCACCTCGTGCCGTCCTGCTCCGGCCGCCGCCGCTCGCCGCAAACTATGCGGCCCGCAGAGACAATCGACGCCCGAATCGGGCCGCGCCGCCCGCACAACGCGAGGAAAGCCGGCGATAGCCATCGGCGGCCGCTCGTTATCCGGCGCCAGCGGGCGGTGCGGCTCGCTGATGAGAGTGCGGCGCGGTGCCGCACTGGCGACGGCTCCAGGCTGGTGACGGCTCCGGACTGGTGACGAGTCTGGACTGGGGACGGCTCCTGACTGGCGACGGCTCCGGCCTGGCAACGACTCTGGACTGGTAACGGCTCTGGACTGGTGACAGCTCGGGACTGGTAACGACTCTGGACTGGTGACGGCTCGGGACTGGTGACGGCTCTGGACTGGTGACGGCTCCGGACTGGCGACGACTCCGGACTGGTGACGGGTCCGGACCGGCGACGGCTCTGGACGATTCCTGGGCGGCGGACTGGTGACGGCTACGGACGGTCCCTGGACGGCGGACGGGCACACACTGGCCGGCCCGGGAGGGGCCCACCACACTGAGACCGCTGCCTCGAGGCTGGCGCACTCATCCGCGAGCTTACGCTCACTGATCCGTAGTAGCTACATCCCTCCGTCTCGTGTCCTTCCGTGACGCGTGCCCTTCTGAACGCGCCACTACCCATATCGCTTTGTTTGACTTTTAAGCACAGCGGAGTCTGAAAGAGCTTTCCACATATCAATTTTCAAAATGGCTGCTACGGCCGCAGAGAGTACAAGTACGATTCAAGGGCATGTATCCAATACTTTAACCGCGGCAGACGGCCCACGACCAATTTTAGATAACTTCAACTGTGTCCCTAATCAATTGTCCCGGCGTCAATTGTGTCACAAATCAGCACGTATGACGAGCCAAAAACGGCCTGCCCTTGGGACAACTGGACCGCAGACTTCCACACGTATCCCGTGACCGGCACCAAAGACAGTGTCACGCCGCAGCACCCTCTCAAATCACGTGGCAGAACAATATTTGTCCCGGCTATTTCCACGCACTAAACAGTGCTTGTCGGGTTGAGGATCACGCTTTAGGACAGGAATCATCTTTATTATATAAAAATAGCGCTTCAGATTTTCAACGACAGCTGATTTTAAGCCCAAGCTTTGGTCTAGCGTCACACGCCACACGTCAAATGTCGCCTCAATGATACGTAAGTAGGTGTGCCATACATCACAACACAGAATCATACTTGTGGGTTTATATGCACAACGGCAAATGTGCTTTCGAACAAAAACTGCAAAGATGACAGAAATGACACGATGACAGATGCGTTCTTGACATAAGACATAACGATATACCTTATAAAAACGCGTTTTTAAATTTGTTTTGCACGGTCGGACGCTCCATACATAAGTTACAATAATGCGCCGTTTGTTTTTAAATAAATCTACTCGGTGCTTTGTAGCCCTCTTTGCGATCAGAGCTCTTGCTTATCCTAACGGAGAGCCTGGCGATCCGCCGTTCGTCCCATGCAGTGTCTTGACGTACAAGACCGTCCTTTGTCAGCCTGACCCTCCATGGCCGAATGCTCCATTGATCGTCTATGACATGGCTAACAATCGAACATTAATGCTGGGACGTGTGTTCACATAGCTTCCCACCATAATGACCAGGAACTCTGCACTCCGCCAGTTAGGCCACGACGAAGGCAGCGAGACACGCAACTGCTCTTCTGTTTACACCAAGCCAGAGCAGTACTGTGGGCAGTACATCAGGCGACTCTGTCCCGAGTCCGGTCTCTGTCCACTGGGCGGGGGTGGGACAGGGCAGTAGGTAATGCCGGCCCGCTCGGTGCAGGCTCTGGCCACTGGCCGTGGATCAGAGGTGGCGGCCGACAGACGGCGTGTCTGGGTCGGCCGGCCCGCATACCAGCCGGCCGGCTCGTGATCACGGCGGCCTTGAACTTGTGGTCAGCTGCTGCGACCCGGCACCGCGGATAGCCACACACGGCCCGCAGAGAGACGCGCCAACCCACCGAACACGGCACTGTCACGGCCAACCGACTCTAGAGACGGACACACACGGCCGCCAGAGAGACGGAGAGAGACGCCGACACACCGAACACGGCACTGCCACGGCGACCCGACTCTAGAGACGGAGACACACGGCCGCCAGAGAGACGGAGAGAGACGCCGACCCACCGAACACGGCACTGCCACGGCGACCCGACTCTAGAGACGGAGACACACGGCCGCCAGAGAGACGGAGAGAGACGCCGACACACCGAGCGCTGCACACCGAACACGGCACCGAGCTGGAGCAGAGTCCCTGACGGACAGCATAACAGCCCCGCCACATAGCGAGACAAACAGGCAGATACTGTCGCACAGACGTATCCAAAGGCACATACAACACGCAAACACACACAAAAATGTTGAATACCGCGATGCGGAAGACAGACACGCTGACTCAGTCGGCTCTCTCGAAGTCAGGCTAGCGGGTAATTGGCATACGCACATCAGCCAAGACACCGGCGCATGACCCATATGATGGCCGCAGCCACACCGAGCCTTCCGTCCACGTCAGGTGGAGAGGGCCCTATCAGGAGGCCCGGATAGCCGGCTACCGCGGGAGGTAGTAATCACAGTCACACCGTCTTTAGTCACACCGGGTGACCTGTCCGCGGGGGGGGGGGGACTTACCTCCAGGGGAGGGCAGTGGCGTGATGTCCATATCCACCATGAGCGAGCTCTCCGGGCTGGTGTCCTCCGGCACGGCCACACTGCCACTCTCCAGCGAGCGCTGTCAACAGAGCGGCCACAGTCAGAGGCTGGCCACACCTCCGGCACGACCACACTGCCACTCTCCAGCGAGCGCTGTCAACAGAGCGGCCACAGTCAGAGGCTGGCCACACCTCCGGCACGGCCACACTGCCACTCTCCAGCGAGCGCTGTCAACAGTGCGGCCACAGTCAGAGGCTGGCCACGCCTCCAGCATGGCCACACCCCCGGCGCGGCCGCACTGCCACTCTCCAGCAAGCGCTGTCAACAGAGCGGCCACAGTCAGGGGATGGCCACACTGCCACTCTCCAACGAGCGCCGTCAACAGAGCGGCCACAGTCAGAGGCTGGCCACACCTCCGGCACGGCCACACTGCCACTCTCCAGCGAGCGCTGCCAAAAGTGCGGCCACAATCAGAGGCTGGCCACACCTCCAGCATGGCCACACTGCCACTCTCCAGCCAGCGCTGTCAAAAGAGCGGCCACAATCAGAGAAGGACCATATACCCCGCTCAGGTTCGCTGCAAAGGGTATGGTTCAGACAGATTCAGAAGAACGCGCCTACACGACCCGGAAAGTTAATTGCAGCGGCCAATAACCTCACAGAAAAGCGCAAATCGCAGAACCCGTCACATTGTACACACACACATTTACATTGTACACAGAAGTTAATCGCCGATTACCCGTGAACCTGAGCGATGAAATATAATAACATCTTTTTAATTTCTTAATACTATCATGATGAAAATTAATGGTTCAACCACGGTGGTGAAATACGGCGATCCCTATCGTCATAATGGTTGGTGAGACCGCATGCACTGCATAGCACGTCTCCTGGCTTGTTTAACAGCCTACAAATCAGCGCTGGGGTTCAAATGTCAGCCTGCCGGGCGCTCCAGGCCGCCGGACCCGCCACGCTCCCCAGAGACAGCTCGCGAGACGGACAACTGCCGGCAGCTCACCGGGAAGCGGTCACCACTCACGCCACGGTCACGTGACCACGCCATGCTCCCCAGAGACAGCTCGCGAGACGGACGACTGCCGGCAGCTCACCGGGAAGCGGTCGCCACTAGCGCTGTGGTCGCGTGACCACGCCACCCTCCCCAGAGACAGCTCACGAGACGGACCACTGCCGGCAGCTCACCGGGAAGCGGCCGCCACTCACGCTGTGGTCACGTGACCACGCCACCCTCCCCAGAGACAGCTCGCGAGACGGACAACTGCCGGCAGCTCACCGGGAAGCGGTCACCACTCGCGCCGCGGTCACATGACCACGCCACCCTCCCCAGAGACAGCTCACGAGAGGGACAGCTGCCGGCAGCTCACCAAGAAGCGGTCACCACTCACGCTGCGGTCACAGGACCACGCGGCCTGTACAAACGCACTCCCATTGGTACGCGGAGCAGGGCGCCTCAGGACGGACCCACTGATTAATGGCCTGCTCGGCACGCCGGAAAATTCATAATCCATTCGCTTGGTTCGAAGGTTTCTCCATTATCATTTCATCGGCTTTACTTCATGCTGCATGCAGCGCTAGACTTGCCTAACTATGTGATCTGATCGGTCCTGGTCATCTGCCGATGATTTGTCTTGCCTGCAATTAATTCCGATGCCTTCTACAGCATACGAAACGCGGATTGCAGTACCATAGCGCTTTCAATGGTTGTATTCTATGCTATTCCAAGTCGTGCAATGCCTGTGTGTAATGCATATGCATTACATGTGTATCACAAATGTATTATTGTACGCCCTTTCAAGACGTACGTCTGTGTATGATATATGGATCTCTCCCGCTCATTCCTCACTCCTCAAGGATCTCTCATTTGGATCGGGTTTGATAGATTCATATGAGGAATGACCACGAATCCAACGACGCCAGTCGTAACATGAGTAGGTCGGCCTCATCAAAATTCGGTATTCGACATTAAATAATCACAGCGTTTCCAGAAATTGTTCTCAAGCGACAACACCAGTACCAAACAATTGCGCCTTAAGGCCAATGGCGTGCCTAGTGGTTGTCCTGACCGTGCGGGTGCCTCTGAGGAAAAGTTTGACTAACGCTGATGGCCTACGCTAACAGAGTGGCTGGCAGCGGGCCGCTGGTTCCAGGCAGGGCGGCCCGCTCAGGCCAGCAGGCTGCCACGAGACCCACCTCGCTGGCCCGGCTGGGCGGCCGCGAGCCGAGAGGAGACGACAGCTGGGACAGGTCGTCCGCATCGGCCCGGGCCCGCTTCTCATCCCCGCCGCCACCCTGCGCCACACGGCGCTCGGTCAGATCACACGACAGGGAGTCCATCATGTCACATCAGGAGACGGGCAGACGTCTCCACAGGTCATCGGTCTCGGCCAGTCGCCTCCACAGGTCACTAGTCTCGGCCAGTCGCCTCCACAGATCAACAGTCTCGGCCTGTCGCCTCCACAGGTCACTAGGCTCGGCCAGACGTCTCCACAGGTCACTAGTCTCGGTCACACGCCTCCACAGGTCACTAGTCTCGGTCACACGCCTCCACAGGTCTCTAGTCTCGGTCAGACGCCTCCACAAGTCAATAGTCTCGGCCAGACGCCTCCACAGGTCACTAGCCTCGATCGGACACTGCCAGGTCACCAGGTCCGGTGGGACACCTGCACCCGACCTTGGCGTTCCGTCAGACACGTCATCAGGTCATCGGGTTTGCTCAGACACTGCACCAGGCCGTCGCATTCGGTCACAGGCCGTGTCAGACCATGGGGCTCGGCGTGAGACCATCCGGCTCTGCCCGGCCCTGCGTCCGACCCCGGAGCCGGGATGGACGGGCCAGAAGGCCGTGTCGCCTGGGCCAGGCCCCTGGCCAGGGCTCCGGGTCGACTGACCTGGTCGGCGCGGCGTCTTCGCTCGCCCTGGGTTTCGGCCTGCCGGGCCCGGTCTACGGCGGAGGGAGGCGGTGTCAGCGCTGCCGTCACCGGTGGCGGACCGACAAACACCGCTGCAGTCGGCACCGCACAGGCTATCTCAACGGCACAGACCATTGCCAACTGGTCACATCCAGACGATACAGGCCAGTGACAACTGCTCACATCCAGACGGCACAGACCAGTGCCAACTGGTCACATCCAGACAGTACAGACCAGTGCCAACCGCTCACATCCAGACAGCACAGACCAGTGTTAACTGGTCACATCCAGACGGCACAGACCAGTGTCAACTGGTCACATCCAGACAGTACAGACCAGTGTTAAATGCTCATATCCAGACAGCACAGACCAGTGTTAACTGGTCACATTCAGACAGCACAGACCAGTGACAACTGTTCACATCCAGACGGCACAGGCCAGTGTCAACTGCTCATATCCCAACGCTCAACGTGTAAGTCGAAACGAGAAGGGACAGGCGCTGGGACGTTCACAGGAAGACGGCAGAGCCGGTGCCGTCGACACTAACGGCGACCTACATTTCCTCTCGATGACGTCGTCGTCCAGCAGCAGCGAGACGACCTCCTTGGCCTTGAGCTGGTCCGGCCGGAAGTTGCCGCCGCTGATGACCATCCTCTGGATCTGCGGGTCAGGTCAGGTCACGTGACGTCAGACCGGTGTCAGGTGGGACGGGTGAGGGCGGGCGGGTTAGGTAGAGTCGGGGCGAACAAGGAAGTTGCCGCCACTGATGACCATCCTCTGGGTATGCGGGCCAGGTCAGGTCACGTGAGGTCAGACCGGTGTCAGGTGGGACGGGTGAGGGCGGGCGGGTTAGGTGGAGTCGGGGCGAACAAGGTCAGGTCGGGTGCTGGGAGATCGAGTGGCTTCAGATGTCAGATGGGGCCAGGGGGGGGGGAGGGGTCAGGTGAAGTCAGGTCCGATGGGATGAAGTCAGGTGGTGCCAGGTCCATTGGGATCAGGTCAGGTCGCTCACGTTCCGATGGGATCAGATCAAGTGATGCCAGGACCGACCTGATCGTGTCACGGCACATCAGACACGGCAAATCGGAGTTTCAAAAGATAAGCTACTGTGATTTAAGCACATTTCGGGGCTTGTTCACATTGAACACAATCTTGGCCTCATACTGGTACCCCGGGTCTATATTTAGTAGCGACAAATAATTAAATCAAAAGTGCTCCGCAAGCGGGGACCTCCAAATAGTTCAACAGCAATTCGTCCAGAATTAGCGAGCCGACAGCCATGACTCCTCTGTCCAGAGTAGCACTTATTCTTTATTCTATCACCTCAGTAAGAGTTCATTACTGGCCGTACCCGTCATTTAAACATACGGCATGACTCCTTAGCACGTTAAAACTCCGTTAAACACGCCTAGAGCTCACGCAAATAGCCTATCCATCACTAGGCAAGACGTTACATACAAGAGAAGTCCCGCATCCCAAGTCCACGGATCATTTGCTGCTGCTCTCTCCTATTTTGCAATGTTGGATCCCTAAGCAAATATTAGCGCGTGCCATTAAAACAACGTTCAACCCCTGTAACATTTTAACTCAGAGCGCACGGTGCAGTGCTACAGTTGGGAAGATGATTGGTCGACGCAATCGGAAGCCCTCCTCACATGAACGTATGCTCTGAGGGAGAATGACACGAAATGAAGACGTTTGCGACCTTCATGAGGCCTGTGGCCTTCCGTTTAAATCAAAGGTACGTGAAAGGCGCGTCCGTCGAATACAGGAACAACCTTGTAAAACGAATCCGATCAAATGATTTGCTGGAATTGTTTTGCAACCACTCTCCTTGCTAGGCCGGTTGGTGAGCTTGCTAGCCTTGTCGCAAAGGCCCTGCCCCCACCACTGAAGACGTGTAACCCCGGGCCAACGGACAGCGCTGCCGCAGTTCAGCGTGCTATGACGTTCCACAACACGCTCACCCTACTTCAACATGCAATTCGGCCTGTTCCCAGCTGGTCATCATATTAGATATCACGTTGAATGCATTCCGTCGTCTTAAATTTAAATCAAAACCAACTGATGCGCAGTGCAACTCGAGTAACCCGTGGCCTTCGGGTGAAAAAGGTCGACAGGTGAGAAACGACTCTGCAAAACTTATACTGACAGACTGGACATGACGCCACTCGTATTAACATGTCTCCAAAAACAGTAACATAACTTATATCCGTCATGTATTCAACATTCAGGATCCGGAGGACCCCAGAATGCCGAAGCTGCAGGAAAAGTCCGGGCGAGAAGGGAACAGGTCGGTGACCAGAGCAGGTCACCGCAGCTGGGACACGCGTGCCCTGTGACATCGCCCTTCCCCTGCACCCACTGACCCCCCTCATCTCCCCACCTTCACGTACCAGCGAGTACATGATAGCCAGCAGACCGCGCGGGTACCGTACCAGTGGTATTCTCCTCCGACCTTCATGTACCAGCGTGTACATGATAGCCAGCAGACCGCGCAGGTACCGTGCCAGGTGGTATTCTCCTCCGACCTTCACGTACCAGTGTGTACATGATAGCCAACAGACCGCGCAGGTACCGTACCAATGGTATTCTCCGATCTCCACGTGCCGGTGGCACACGAAAGCCAACACACCGCGCGGGTACCGTACCAGTGGTATTCTCCTCCGACCTTCACTGACCGGTGGGCGCATGATAGCCAGCAGACCGCGCGGGGACCGCACGAGCGGCCAGACCGAGCCCCGTACAACCAGGCATTATGCAGGCACAATGTGCCCCGCTCATCCCGCGGCCCAAAGAGCACAGCGTCGGCGCTTTATTGTGATAGCCCGTGATGAAACGACGCGCCATGCGGCCCACGTCGGCGCGCCGGTTGACCCGTGACCCGGCGGCAGGTGTGTGCAGGTCAGGCCGGCCGGCGGCACTTTCTCCGGCGCAGTTGTTAGCACCAGGCTGCTGGCACAGCGGCTGATTCATTTCAGATGCAAAGGAAAGAAAGTGAATAGCACACGGCCATGATAACGCTTGCAGTTTATGGACCGTTCGGCTTGTGCCCATGAACTGGTCTAATGCTCCCGCTGTTACGCAATGGCACGGCCCGTTCGTGATTGTCTGACGGCGTCCGCCGATTGTCTGCACATCATCCCACGTCTGCCCGCGTGTAAGACTGCCGGCGCGCTTCACACATCCGGTGAGTTCACCCTGGTGTCAAACTGACTGGCGCCGGGGAACAATGTGTGGGGCACTACATATGCCCCATAGGTACAATAAATGGTGCAAGGTGGACGAGATATCAGTGGCGTAGGCTGGAAATCGCAACAATTAGCTGGCCACACGGAAAGCCCGCAGCCGCGACAAGTAACCAGTAGACGGCAGACCGGTGGCCGACAAACGACGGACAAGCAGTCAGAAGGCAACGGACAGAACCCAGGATCCGCCGACGGACAAGCAGATGGTACAGGAAACGCACGCGCGTCCCTTGGGAGCACCATCACCCGTGCGTAGGCGGCGGTCTGCCGCTAAGGTCGCGAGCATTCCGGCTGGTCCGGAGCCAGACGTGACCCACTGATCTGAAGCCAGACGTGACCGGCTGGTCCGGAGCCAGCCGTGATCGGCTGATCCGGAGCCAGACGTGACCGGCTGATCCGGAGCCAGACGTGACCGGCTGATCCGGAGCCAGACGTGATCGGCTGATCCGGAGCCAGCCGTGACCGGCTGATCCGGAGCCAGACGTGACCGGCTGATCCGGAGCCAGACGTGATCGGCTGATCCGGAGCCAGCCGTGACCGGCTGATCCGGAGCCAGACGTGACCGGCTGGTTCGGAACCAGACGTGACCGGCTGGTCCGGAGCCAGACGTGACTGACTGGTCCGGAGGCACACGTGACCAGCGATCCGCCAGCCAACACGCGTCCCAGACGCCTCACAGCTGAAGGAGCCCGCCAAGGTTCAGACCGCCACTAAAAACATGGCCCCACATATGTCTGAACGAAGTGCGGCAAACAGCACATTACACGTATGTTCCTTGAACGTTAGTATGCCCGTTTTCCTGCCGGGCACATGAACACTTGACCAATCACTTATCAAGGTGTGTCTTCTCCAACCCCCAGGCACGCATTTACCGTTAGCTTTCCTTTTAGTACATGGGCCAAGGCCATTGCCAAAACACCATCCATTCTGCCTCCGACCCGTCCCCCACTCTCCCAGTAAGGATCGCCTGACATGCACCGCACAGTACATTGGTTAGCAGGGGCCACGGCAAACAACACCCAGTCTGAACACCGGGTATGGCTGTTGAGACGCAGTGAAGAGCACACGCCCGCAGCCCGCCGCGGCCGTAGCAGCATCCCGTCTGAACACCAGGTATGGCTGTTCAGACGCAGTGAGGAGCACACGCCCGCAGCCCGTCGCGGCCGTAGCTCTGCCGCAGCGCCCACGCCGGCAGTGTACTCGCCCGCGGAGGTCGGACACTGCCCGCCCTACGCCCTACACCGGCGGCGAGCGTGCGGCAGTCGCAGCGGTGTTCTCCCAGCGCCACGCTGGTTCAGCGGGTACACTCGTCACCAAACCGTCCCCGCTCCGGACACAGACTCACGCGTCGCAGCGTCCCATAGTGAACAGAGTCGCCTCGGTACCGCGGGGCTCTCGCGACATAGAGGCCGCTGTTATTGGTCCGTAAATGCTGGAAGCTGAGAGGGCGGCAAAACCACATCCGGGCGGCCACACCACACCACAGAGGGCCGCCCACCTCGCTCCGTGTCCGCCCGGCTCCAGACGACCGGAGCTTGTCGGCGAGGCGTGTGCAGCTTTTTAACGAGCGGACAGCACCGCCGCGCTGCCGTCCCATTGTTCTTGTTGATCTCGACTGGACACAAGAAAGAAATTATACACAGGCAAGATTCGAAGGAGTGCCCAGCAGCATTTACCGCAAGAGCCCTGCACGTTGTGCGGTATCAAGTTATTTGAAAAGTTTAGTGAGTTTGTTCTCCGACGCCACTCCGACGTCTGAAGTGTGATGACATGCTCTGGCATGTGAGTTGGTTCTCCGACGCCACTCTGACGTCTGAAGTATGATGACATGCTCTGGCATGTGAGTTGGTTCTCCGACGCCACTCTGGCGTCTGAAGTATGATGACATGCTCTGGCATGTGAGTTGGTTCTCCGACGCCACTCTGGCGTCTGAAGTATGATGACGTACTCTGGCATGCCGGTGGCGGCTGCCAGTCCACTGGATATTTGCACCAATAATGCTTCACCATACTCTGACGAACACCATGATGTGGGAACATACACCGAGCTGCATACACGCCTTCCAGTACCCCAGCAGGCACCGCCGTTTTTCACACGATGATAGCGGTATGTGCATGATGCATCGATCGATTCGCGGAGCGTGATCGTTACTTGGGTTTTCCCGCAATCATTCTCACACAAACGACCGAGATGGGAATCACAACAGCCGGTTCTTGCCAAATGGACGCATGATCGTTGTCATAGCACGTAAACTTGCGGGGAACAAATGAACCGCACTCAGAGCAGACACCACAGCTGTCTTTCATCGCACACATAGCTGACCAGAATACTACCTCCTTCTGAGAGTAGGGTTCAAGGAGAACTGGCCGGTGTCGAGAAGCACCATCTGAGCGAAACACAAACCCGCTGGGTTCGGAGACTGGCGCAAGATACTAATGATTCCTGCCTCGGAGCCCGGTAGAGGCGACAACACTAGGACAAAACAGTAGCAGGTGCTTGACACACATTGCGCTAGGTAAGATGACTACCAGTGAAAATAAATAAATAAATTTAGGGTATGAAGTTGCTGAGATTGTAATTGGCAGGACTATGCTGCTGAACTTGAGTTTCTTAGATAACACGCTTCATTATCCAGCCCGTAGCAGCAGCAATACTGATGAAATCATCGCCGCAAGAGCCACGCGCACCACGAAAAGTACAACCGGCCCTATTCTTATCCCTGCTGTGGGCAGTGCGATAAGCTAATTTATGGTCGAGCTGTATGCGGGCACTCGATGGAAGACGATCTTCAATTCCGCTGGCGCACAGCTCGTAACTGAAGTTACCACGGCGGAAACAACAAACTCGGGGAGAAAGGCGAGAGAAAGGTAACGGGTCGCTCCACCTGGTGCAACCATGCAAAATATCTCTCCAGACGGACGCTCCATGGTAACATTTATAATATTGTTGTTCGTGCCGCTTCCCGAATGTACGTGTAATATGTCCTGTTCTTGGCTGACCGTATTTCACTCTTCGGCTCCTGATCCTGCCTAATGTTCCCTTGGGGCCGATCCTCCCAAGCCTCCCATCCTGTTTGTTGGTTATTCAGACAGCCGCGTGGCCGCCAAACGGCACCCGTTCGCTACCTCGGCCTGACCTGACCCCGTACTCGGACCCCTGACCCGTCCGTACCTCGTTCTTCTCCCTGGCCCGCTGCAGTATGCGCTCTTCGATGGTGCCCTTACAGATGAGGCGGTAGACAGTAACCTGCTTGGTTTGGCCGAGCCGGTGGGCGCGGTCCATGGCCTGTTGGTCCACTGTCGGGTTCCAGTCACTGTCGTAGAAGATCACCTGGCGGGCGGCGGCGGCCGGTCAGGGAGACAGACGGGGACGGGCGGCCAGTCAGGGAGGCAGACGGGGATGGACGGCCGGTCAGGGAGGCAGACCGAGACGGGCGGTCGGTCAGGGAGGCAGACCGGGACGAACGGCCGGTCAGGGAGACAATCCGGGATGTACGGTCGGTCAGGGAGGCAGACGGGGACGGACGGTCGGTCAGGGAGGCAGACGGGGACGGGCGGCCGGTCAGGGAGGCAGACCAGGACGGCCGGCCGGTCAGGGAGGCGGTCAGGGAGGCAGACAAGAACGGACGGACGGACGGACGGACGGACGGTCAGGCAGGCAGGCAGGCAGGCAGGCAGGGACGTGCGAACTGACAGGGCCGGACGCGGAAGAGGTACGGTGCTGTACAAATTCAGAGAATCTTCGCTGACACAATTGTGGATACGATCAGGGCTGGGAAGACCCCAATGGGCTCGACAAATTTCATCATCGAATGTCTCGACGCATGGCATTTTGCACGTGGGTTACGTGTTACGAAGGACAAAATTATCAAATAAAATAACTTCAAGCCTTAATTGCATAATTGCCCCCCCCCCCCCCGCCCCCAGGTGCAAACCGCCTCGCCCCGTTCTCCTAACGATTGTTGCAACACAAATGAGCGGCGGCAAACAGCAGAGTCGCAGTCAAAGGCAAACGGCCCGAACAGCGGGCCGACCAGGCCCCTCCGGCGCGGCGTGTGCGGCGGACGTACCGTGTCGGCGGCCGTCAGGTTGATGCCCAGACCACCAGCCCGGGTGCTCAGCAGAAAGACGAATATGTCCGACCTGGCCGACGTAGCCGGAGCGTCAGCAGCATCGCTTCACCGACGAACAGATCACGAACACAAAGGCACAAACAGAGGGTACGTCATGACCGCCCAAACACTCGAGCGGTCAGCAAGTCTCCGAGACATAGAAAGCGCAAAAATGAAACCAGCACAGACATCGGCCCAAAAGCCAGCCACAACGGGTCTACACTGCGCCGAACACAGCGCCATCCGAGCACGGCGGGGTCGCTGGGTCCCCCCCCCCCCCGACAGCCCGGACCCTGCTGTGGCGAGCGGAAGCGCGCCGACGGCAGCGCCCCGGCCCGAGGCGACGGAGGTCGCAGCCAGAGACGCGCACCTGGTCTGAAAGTCCTCCACCATGTCTCGGCGCTCGTGAATCTTGGACGAGCCGTCCAGCCGCGTGTACTTGTGTTGCCGGTAGAACATGTACTCCTGCCGAAGAGCATACCAGTGTAAGTAGCGTCCAGGGTGAATCTAGATTAGTCACAGGCGTCCGGTGTCAAGTACACCGTGTGCACGTTGCCAACAAACAACCAAGCTGTGCGCCAGTGTAAGCCGCGAGCTAGCAGAGCTGAAATGCTTTCATCCCAAGGCGGACACCGTCATGGACATCATTCACAATATGCTACATGTCAGACAACCATTGCCAGAACCCTATACTTCAAGTCAAGATAGCATGTATATCCGCCCGGCGGCAGCAGCGCTCCAGCGAGCCTGTGCCCTGGGCCACCCCACGTGATCCGTATGTCATCAGACGGCGCCGCCACCCGACCTGACCTCGAGCAGGTCGATCATGCGCGTCATTTGCGAGTAGATGAGCACACGATGGCCGCCGTCCTTCAGCTTCTTCAGCAGCGAGTCCAGCACGTACAGTTTTCCGGCGTCCGTGATGAGCGTGCGCTTGTCTGGTGGCCGACGCACAGTCAGTCAGTCGCTCTGAGCGGGTTACAGCATACCGGCCAGATCCACCTCACGCTGCCGTCGCTCGGACCGAGTTACAGCATACCAGCCAGATCCACCTCACGCTGCCGTCGCTCGGACCGAGTTACAGCACACCAGCCAGATCCACCTCACGCTGCCGTCGCTCGGACCGAGTTACAGCATACCGGCCAGATCCACCTCACGCTGCCGTCGCTCGGACCGAGTTACAGCATACCGGCCAGATCCACCTCACGCTGCCGTCGCTCGGACCGAGTTACAGCATATCGGCCAGATCCACCTCACGCTGCCGTCGCTCGGACCGAGTTACAGCATACCGGCCAGATCCACCTCACGCTGCCGTCGCTCGGACCGAGTTACAGCATACCGGCCAGATCCACCTCACGCTGCCGTCGCTCGGACCGAGTTACAGCACACCAGCCAGATCCACCTCACGCTGCCGTCGCTCGGACCGAGTTACAGCATACCGGCCAGACCCACCTCACGCTGCCGTCGCTCGGACCGAGTTACAGCATACCGGCCAGATCCACCTCACGCTGCCGTCGCTCGGACCGAGTTACAGCATACCGGCCAGATCCACCTCACGCTGCCGTCGCTCGGACCGAGTTACAGCATACCGGCCAGATCCACCTCACGCTGCCGTCGCTCGGACCGAGTTACAGCATACCGGCCAGATCCACCTCACGCTGCCGTCGCTCGGACCGAGTTACAGCATACCGGCCAGATCCACCTCACGCTGCCGTCGCTCGGACCGAGTTACAGCATACCGGCCAGATCCACCTCACGCTGCCGTCGCTCGGACCGAGTTACAGCATACCGGCCAGATCCACCTCACGCTGCCGTCGCTCGGACCGAGTTACAGCACACCAGCCAGATCCACCTCACGCTGCCGTCGCTCGGACCGAGTTACAGCATACCGGCCAGATCCACCTCACGCTGCCGTCGCTCGGACCGAGTTACAGCATACCGGCCAGATCCACCTCACGCTGCCGTCGCTCGGACCGAGTTACAGCACACCGGCCAGATCCACCTCACGCTGCCGTCGCTCGGACCGAGTTACAGCACACCGGCCAGATCCACCTCACGCTGCCGTCGCTCGGACCGAGTTACAGCATACCGGCCAGATCCACCTCACGCTGCCGTCGCTCGGACCGAGTTACAGCATACCGGCCAGATCCACCTCACGCTGCCGTCGCTCGGACCGAGTTACAGCATACCGGCCAGATCCACCTCACGCTGCCGTCGCTCGGACCGAGTTACAGCATACCGGCCAGATCCACCTCACGCTGCCGTCGCTCGGACCGAGTTACAGCACACCAGCCAGATCCACCTCACGCTGCCGTCGCTCGGACCGAGTTACAGCACACCAGCCAGATCCACCTCACGCTGCCGTCGCTCGGACCGAGTTACAGCACACCAGCCAGATCCACCTCACGCTGCCGTCGCTCGGACCGAGTTACAGCACACCAGCCAGATCCACCTCACGCTGCCGTCGCTCGGACCGAGTTACAGCATACCGGCCAGATCCACCTCACGCTGCCGTCGCTCGGACCGAGTTACAGCATACCGGCCAGATCCACCTCACGCTGCCGTCGCTCGGACCGAGTTACAGCATACCGGCCAGATCCACCTCACGCTGCCGTCGCTCGGACCGAGTTACAGCATACCGGCCAGATCCACCTCACGCTGCCGTCGCTCGGACCGAGTTACAGCATACCGGCCAGATCCACCTCACGCTGCCGTCGCTCGGACCGAGTTACAGCATACCGGCCAGATCCACCTCACGCTGCCGTCGCTCGGACCGAGTTACAGCATATCGGCCAGATCCACCTCACGCTGCCGTCGCTCGGACCGAGTTACAGCATACCGGCCAGATCCACCTCACGCTGCCGTTCGCCAGGGATCAGTTACATGTTACGCTGAGTGATGGGCTTTCCCATGGCTGTGATGAGCCGCACTGCGTATGCTTAGGCTGCCTCGTCAGTGCAGGACTCCCAGTTTGTTCTTAAAAGCGCTTTTGTGACGAGCAGAAGCCTTCCGGGGCGGCTGCGGCCCACATGACGGCTTAAGCTGGGTCGGCGGCTGCACTCGAGCCTCCGGCACCAGGGCAGTGTTTGCGCGCGTCCCTCGCGGCTGACCTGGTATGATGAGGTGAGACCATCCGTGCAGGGGCCGCACAGCGCTGAGGCCGCCCGGCTCGGGCGGGGCCAGACACCAGCGCCGCCGCCGCTCACGCTCCGCACTCTGCGTCACACACGGGTGGAGAGCGAGGGGGGAGGGGGAGAGGACAGGGTCAGACAGACGGGCCCGCCAGCGGCCGACCGGGCGCCCCACCTGCATAACACGGCATGCCACTGAACAAGCTAACGGACTCTGCTCGAACAGGCTTCAAACTCTCACAATTGGACTACGGTGCCCGCGCAGCCGCATCAACCGACTGATAGTTCGCCTGCACAGCCGAATCATTCATGTGAACGTTTATCCCGCATACCCGCATTAATCATGTGAGCATTTGTCATTCAAAGCAGAGTCAATCATGTGAAAAAGTGAGGACGAATTCGGATCGGAATTGCAAAGCGAGCGTGATCCGTAGCAGCCAGCGGTGTTTGCCTAACCCACACCATGACAACAAGCCGACGACTCCAGGTGTCGCCCCTCCTATCGACTGCAGTACACAGGGACACGTGTCCGGCTGGGTCGGCCGGCGCTGCTGACCTCCGGCGAGCCGTGCAGAACGCACTGTCGGGCGAGCAGGGAGCCGCAGTGCTGATGGTCGGCCCAGGCCCAGGCGGCGCTGCGGTCCGAGCAGTACAGCTCGGCGGCGCTGGCCGTCGCCTGCCAGCACATCACCGGGCGCGTCAGAGTAGGAGCTCAGGCCGGCCCTTCGGCGGCGCCGGCAGAATCTCAATCAAAATGTCGTCCTTCAACACAAATCGAAGCGCAGCACAATATTCAACTTATGCACCACACGCCAAAACGCGCACACACACGCGGGTGACAGCCACTACAGTGTCTGCCCGATACCGCCGGCAGTGTGCCGGTCCAGCGAACAGGCCGGCCCTGGTCGACCACCGCCGCCACTTACAAGGCCCCATCCGGTGTTCGGCTGGCTGCCGCACGTCCGCTGGAGCGGCCTACCTTGCGCGGCGTCTGCTGCAGGAAGGCGGGCAGCTCAGTGGGCTGCAGCGGCAGCACCTGGGCCGGCAGCGGCCGGTGCGGGAACTCTGGCAGCAGCTGCAGCCGTTGCTCCACCGTCTGCCAGACGCGTGCGGCAGCGTCACCAGCAGCTGGGACCGGCTCCCCACCAGACAGGGGCGGTAGCTGGGAACGGCGTCGCCCTCTCTTGCTGGCGCCGGTCCCAGTCACCCTTCGCGTGATCAAATCATGGCGCACCAGTCACAGGTGTAACAAAACAGCAAAATTATATAGAATCCACACTACAGCCGTCTGGAAATCGGCAGACATCGAAAGCCCTCGGGCAACTTTGAAGCTCACACATCCAGGCCCAGCGAGAGGCGCAGCTCCATCGCATCGTGCGGTGTCTCGCTGGCGACGGCAGACGGTTCCCGTCCCGCTCCCAGCGTGCCCCCCTCCTGCTCACGTGCAGCTTGCCACCGGCGGCGGGTCGCGTCTCGACCGGCACCAGGCTGGTGACGAGCTCGCGCTGCCCCTCGGGCCCGGCCGCCGCCGCCGTCTTCCTCGTACGCAGCATGCGATGGTCCAGAGTCTCGCAGCGCGACTCGATCCGGTGCGTGACGTGCGCGTAAAACTGGCCGACACACGCGCGCCGGTCAGCGGGGTGAGAGGCGAGAGGTTTACGCCAGCGGAGCGGCCAGCCACATGGGCAAGCACGAGCCAGCCACTGGTGCACCGGCAATCGGCTGGTCCCGGTGTCACTGAGGAACTGCGCCTCACGCGTGGCGGAACACGAAGGGGCTGTGAGCAGAAGCACAGTTGCCTCGCACTTCAAAAGCACAGGTCGTATGTCTACCTCACGGAAGCACTAGTAATTGCAACATGGCATAGGGTACCAGACATTGTGTAGCGTATTCCTGAATCGCAAAGGCAATGCCAGGAAGCCATGTAACCACACACGCAGTACCGCATGGCTGTTACCGTCAATGCATGTATATCTGAGCTAGTTGCGTGAATTCCCTCCGCTCTAAGTACACTGGACACCACGCCAGGGCACCGAGTCACCTCAGGACCACTCCCAAGGCGAACACGACGCCTGAACCCAACTCGCAGGACCGAACGGCCGCCCCCCCCCCCCCCCCCGGCAGCCCCGGCCGGGAGCGGCACCCCACCGTACCCGCGACGTATAGGAGGTGAAGAGAAGTGGACAGGGCCGCTCCAGCGCCGAGCACCGGCCGTCGATGATGAGTGCGTGCCGTGCCAGGCCGCGACTGGCCGCCGCCCCGCCGCCGGCCTGCCCGGCGCGGCGGAGGTGGCGCCGCCGCGCGGCAGCCGCCGCCGCCACCAGCAGCAGCAGCCAGCGGGCCAGCAAGCTGTGTGCCAGCGAGCAAAACTCGGCCGCAGAATGATCGACGAACCGCAGGAACGAGAAGCCGCCCCGGCAGCGCTGCTGGCCTGCCGGGCGACGCGACGTCAGGCGGGTCCGTCAGCCGAGCCGAGCGCACAGACGACAGCGGCCACTTCAGATGCCACGACATCTCTTGAGCAGTCCTGAGCACGGGTTGTGCGGGGCAAACATGAACACAGCACGGGCCTTAACGTGGTGCACGCTGAACATTACAAAATATTAACATGGAACGGAGCTATTGGATCATGCAATGACATCACAAACGACGGCAAATTCAGTTTGTACAGCTGGTGTATGCTGTCAGGCGCACATGTAAACGATAAACGAATGCGGCCCCACATGCGAAGCCAGCTGGAGGCACCATCGATGGCCATCAGACCAGCGTTCCCTGCCGCCGTCGGCACACTGAGCGGTGATGTACCATCTGCCAGTGTGACGGTGTCGAAACTGCGGTGCACGTGCTCCGGACTGAAGACGCTCAGCCGATTGTACAGCAGATGATGCCGGCTCGGCAAGGACCTGCGGCAGCAGATGCTCACGTCATGGCACCTGCTTTCTCGCCACTCCCCGCCGCCCTTCACAGGGAGACACCCAGGAGACTCGGGAGGTGCCTGCAGGAAGGGGGTGCCCGGGTCAGAGGGACTGCCCTCCCACAGAAACGCTCAGGCGACTCAGTTGCCATCTGAGATCAAGAGCTGCCGCAGCCGCAGAACCTGGTCGGGACTAAAGACGCTCAAGCAGACCCACAACAGGTGGCGGTGACATGACAACGGCGTGCGGGTCAAGCCGTCTCAGGCCCGGTACCCGCCCGTCAGACGGGCGTGACGGGCAGGTACCGGGCGGGCAGGGGTGGCACAGCGCCTGGTCACAGCCAGGGCCGGGACTGCGACACGTCGGGGGGTGGCGGCCAGCAGCACCGCGGCCAAATGCACACGTGACCAGGTGACGGCTGCCTGACCAGGTGCACTACGTAAGTCGGCACAGCGGCAGCACATTCCAGCGGACGCACCGAAACGCCTGCGTCACCCACGACTAACAAGCGCGTGCGGTACGCAGGTCTTATTGGCAACATCTTCGAGAGCGTCCATTGGTCCAGACAGCCTACTTTTTACATGACTCAGTGCACAACAGAAACATTACGTGTACGGGCCATGATTAAAGGCAGCGTTAAGGCATCACTAAGTAGCCCTTTCATCGCCAGGTTTCATATAATGACCACCACACGGGCGGCACGGGGCGGCTCCCAGCCGGCGGGGGCGAGCGACTGACCGGTGCAGGAGGCCGTCCCGGAACAGCAGGCGCGGCAGCTGGTACGGCGGTAGGCGGACGAAGAACGGCGAGTACACGTTGCGCCGTTCGAACAGCTCCGGGTGGTTACACACCTGCCGGACAGACGTTATTGCGGCATTATCCCTTCACATTTTCCCACCATGGCTGGTCATTCGTCTCAACACCAAGACCCACAACAACGCACTGCCAGTGGAAAACGGTGCTCACGGCCTCCCGAGTCCTGGACATCTATGAGTGATGATCTCCCATGACCGAGACGGCACAGTCGAGGCTGGGTCGAGGCAGCGGACGGACGGACCTTCCTGAACTGCATGACCAGGTTGAGCAGGCTGGTGGTGACCTGGCTGTGCTGGCCGCCGCCCTGCGTGCTCCGCAGCAGCTCGTCAATGCTGATCTTCTTCTTCAGACCCTGCAGAGCGACAGCGCAGAGCACGGGTTAGTGGCCGTCGCCGGATGCCAGTCCGACTCCAGATCCGGCATCGCCCCAGAATAAGAGACAGGCTAGACGGCTGGAAACCACAGGCTGAAAGTGAGCTTACTGCCAGTCTGGTGCCGTCCATGGTCTCACACCTAAGGTGCGACATTCAGGCTACAACACACAACTCGCAGGAATGCACCTTTAAGCCACATCGTCGCGACGCACCCAGGAGCGCAACGCCGATCACCAGCGGAAGACTACGGCCGAACGCCCTCGTGCCGGCTCTGGAAGTTCACCAGTTGTCAGTCCCCGAGCGGCGGACCTCACTTACCAGCCGTCAGCCCCGGAACGGCGGACCTCACCTGCCAGCCGCCAGCCCCGGAGCGGCGGACCTCACCTGCCAGCCGCCAGCCCCGGAGCGGCGGACCTCACCTGGTAGAGGAGCCGCTGTCGGATGGTGAGCGGACAACAGACCATGATCTCGATCTTGTCCGTCAGCCCCCGAGCGGCCGACCTCACCTGGTAGAGGAGCCGCTGTCGGATGGTGAGCGGACAACAGACCATGATCTCGATCTTGTCCGTCAGCCCCCGAGCGGCCGACCTCACCTGGTAGAGGAGCCGCTGTCGGATGGTGAGCGGACAACAGACCATGATCTCGATCTTGTCCGTCAGCTCGTTCTCGACGTCGCGCTTCACGCGGCGCAGCATGAACGGCTTCAGGATCATGTGCAGCCGGCCCAGGTGAGCTGAGACAGAGCACGGCAGAGAAGCGCACGTCAACGACGGTCCGCTGTCCGCACTGGCCGTGCCGAGGGTCCGGCGGGCGCCGGAGAGCCAGATCACAACATGACGTGGTAGTCACGGCACTCCACTTTGGAGGACAAGACCTCTGTGCACGCACGCTCACCAATCTGTGAACATTCTACAGAACACAGTCAGAAACGCCAAGCTGAAGAAAAATCAGCCGCAGCAGCGCCGGAGACAGTCGTCGTCACATAACAAAGCCACGGAGGCCAGCTGGCGGCACCAGCAGCGGTCGCAGGCCAGAATGAGAGCATGGTGGCTGGCCCGTCACGGACCGACCGACGTCCGCCCGCCGCGGCGGGCAGACCAGGCCGGCCCGGCGCCACTCACTCTGGTCCATGGTGGCGCGGTTCTCGGCGTGACTCTCGATGTCGCGGCTGAACCAGTCGTTGAACTCGCGGTGCGAGTCGAACAGGGACGGCATGATGAAGTGCAGCAGCGCCCACAGCTCGGCCATCGAGTTCTGGATGGGCGTGCCCGTCAGCAGGATCCTGTTGCGGCACTTGAAGCCGAGCAGCATCTTCCAGCGCTGACTGCGCGTGGGGGAGCAGCGTCACGCCGCGCCGAACACACCGGCCGACACGTAACGAGGGATCGGTGGACCCGAAGCGACCGGTCAGCAACGAAGACCCGAGCCCGCGAATAACAGCTTCCCAGCTCACCATAACAGCGAGCCAGCCGGCCCAGCCAATGTGGGAGTACCCTGCCTAACTGGTGTCCCGTAATACATCTGACCGACTGACACACAGACGCATCCACTTTCAGCTGTCTGCAAGCCCTGACGGGCGCCGACAGCCCTCATTGCCTGAGCCCCCAGCAGGTGGGCTGACCAGCCCATCTGCCTGAGTGTGCCGTGCTGCATCACACGGCAGGCGGCCGCCGCCTCAGTCTGACCTGCTGGTGCTCTTGATGGCCTGCGCCTCGTCCAGCACCATGCACTGCCAGTCGATGCGGCTGAAGTACTTGATGTCGGTCACTACCAGCTGGTACGACGTCACCACCACGTGGAAGCTGGCCTCCTTCGTGTGCATGTTGGTCGGCTCCCAGAAGGTCCGCAGCACCTTACGGTCCTGGCACGCGGCGGACAGAGGGTCAGCCTTCAGCCCCGGCCACACTGGGCTGCTAGCTGGCGTTCAGAGCGCAGCAAACACGCGCCACGACGCCACGACGCGGTGCCGGCACAAGGCTTGAGATCTGGGTTAGTTTTACACAGTATTTTGTGCTGTGGCATACAGTTCGACTGAGAAACAAGTGCATACTTACAGCTGAGAAACAAGAGCATACTTACAGCTGAGAAACGAGTGCATACTTATTTCTTCTGGAACAGAAGTATCGTAACAAAGTCCCGAAACATCAAGCTCCCTGTAAACGCCATCGATACGCCTTACAAGTCGACTGACTACAGGAGCACACTGGGCCCCGGGCACCGGTGGGCAATGCAGCCCCGTGCAGCCCACATGAGGCGGCTCAGCCGACGCACAGCCCGGCCGCCTGGAACCGAGCGCCAGCCACCCACCTGGGTGGTGCCCCAGTACGGCACGACCTTGAAGGCCGGCAGGAAGCGAGCCAGCTCCTGCTGCCAGTTGTGCAGCGTGGAGGCGGGCGACACCACCAGGAACGGCCCCCAGATGCCGTAGTGCTCGGCCAGGTGGGCCAGGAAGGCGATCGTCTGCACCGTCTTGCCCAGGCCCATCTCGTCCGCCAGGATGCCGTTAATGCCCTGTCGGGACGCGGCGCACGGTTGGTGTCGGGAGACGTACTGTGTAATTAGCAGCCGACCCCGAGCAGGGAGTATCTTTCTGCTCCGGGCATGAATCGTTATGGTACCCTGAAATACTTCAACGACTTCATTACCATTGAAGGACTGAGATGGTACCGATGAATCCTGAACTTTCAGTTCAAGTTCACCCACGACTGACGTGGTCTAGCTTATATAGCACTCGAGTGGACGAACTGGTTGCGCCTGTCCTACCTGCCCCCCGGCACCGGGACCTGCCGGTCATGCACTGACCGAGTCGAACAGGTTGGCGATCCAGTTCATGCCCTTAAGCTGGTACGTCTTGAGCACGCCCTGGAAGAGGGCCGGCTGCGGGTACTCGCGGGCCGCCTCCGGCTGATCCAGCCGCAGGGCCGCCTCATCGGGGGCGGCGGCGGCGGCGACGGCATGGCCCGAGCTCCGGTCGAACAGCCCCATGTGTTGCCGGCTGCGCTCCACGGCAGCGCGCGCGTTCTCCAGCGCCAGAGTCTTGGCCGCCTCACTGCCGGGGCAGGACCACGAGGTCACCACGCGATGGGGTCTCGTCACACGAAGCCACGTATCACACGCGGCACCCCAGGTGGTTTGACGCTTGCTGAGATAATGCGCTGAACCACCGCTAATTGGCTCAGCAAGAGAGAAGGGCCAATATCACTTCACATCCTGACAACACCCGCGCCAATTCCTGAAGCACTTCCCCACGCTTCCAACATGCCGACGGTTGTGCGGCGGGTGCGTCCGGCGCCATGCACCACCACCCAGGCCTGCGCCGCCCGGCCGGGGGCGCCGCCCGCCCCCCACCTGTCGTAGTCGTCAATGCTGGCGATGCGCGCGTCGGCGGCCGCCTCGTCCAGATGTCCCAGAATGGCCTCCTCGCGCCGGCCGGCCGCCTTCGGGCCCATGAAGTGCGCGTACAGCTCCGTCTGGGTGATCAGGAAGTTGAGCTTGCGCTGCTGCCGCTTGGCCTGCCGGGGAGGCGGGGAGATGTCAGGCGCCGGCTAGGCACGACCGGCCGGCCGGCACAAGGACTGTGGCGTCTGCAGACCACGCCGGCACAAGGACTGTGGCGTCTGCAGACCACGCCGGCACACGGACTGTGGCGTCCGCAGACCCCGCCGGCACACGGACTGCGGCGTCTGCAGACCACGCCGGCACACGGACTGTGGCGTCTGCAGACCGCGCCGGCACACGGACTGTGGCGTCTGCAGACCACGCCGGCACACGGACTGTGGCGTCTGCAGGCCCCGCCGGCACACGGACTGCGGCGTCTGCAGACCACGCCGGCACACGGACTGTGGCGTCTGCAGACCGCGCCGGCACACGGACTGTGGCGTCTGCAGACCACGCCGGCACACGGACTGTGGCGTCTGCAGACCGCGCCGGCACACGGAGGCGTCTGGAGACCGTGCCGGCACACGGACTTTGGCGTCTGCAGACCGCGCCGGCACACGGACTGTGGCGTATGCAGACCGCACCGGCACACGGACTGTGGCGTCTGCAGACCGCGCCGGCTCGGCACACGGACTGTGGCGTCTGCAGACCGCACCGGCTCGGCACACGGTCTGTGGCGTCTAGAGACCGCGCCGGCTCGGCACACGGACTGCGGCGTCTGCAGACCGCGCCGGCACACGGACTGTGGCGTCTGCAGACCGCGCCGGCTCGGCACACGGACTGTGGCGTCTGCAGACCGCACCGGCTCGGCACACGGTCTGTGGCGTCTAGAGACCGCGCCGGCTCGGCACACGGTCTGTGGCGTCTGCAGACCGCGCCGGCTCGGCGCACGGACTGTGGCGTCTGCAGACCGCGCCGGCTCGGCACACGGACTGTGGCGTCTGCAGACCGCGCCGGCACACGGACTGTGGCGTCTGCAGACCGCGCTGGCACACAGACTGCGGCGTCTGCAGACCGCGCCGGCTCGGCACACGGTCTGTGGCGTCTGCAGACCGCGCCGGCTCGGCACACGGTCTGTGGCGTCTGCAGACCGCGCCGGCACACGGACTGTGGCGTCTGCAGACCGCGCCGGCACACGAACTGTGGCGTCTGCAGACCGCGCCGGCACACAGACTGCGGCGTCTGCAGACCGCGCCGGCCCGGCACACGGACTGTGGCGTCTGCAGACCGCGCCGGCTCAGCACAGGGACCGCGGCGTCTGCAGACCGCGCCGGCTCGGCATACGGACTGTGGCGTCTGCAGACCGCGCCGGCACACAGACTGTGGCGTCTGCAGACCGCGCCGGCTCGGCACACGGACTGTGGCGTCTGCAGACCGCGCCGGCTCGGCGTACGGACTGTGGCGTCTGCAGACCGCGCCGGCCGAACACATGCCCGGGAGCGAGGCCAGGGATGGAGCCGCCGCCTACCGGCACTTTGTCGTTCCGGGGCGAACAGCCAGTTACTGCGGCATTGCTGGAGCAGTTTTAATTTGTGCTTGAACATGTCTGGGCCTGACTACCCGGCAATACATACGTTCTGACCCCCTCTCCATCAGTATCCACCTATCAGTACGCTTCACAAGAGAGTACCAGGTCGCGGGTAGCTTACTGCAGCATTGCAACTGGTCTGGGAAGCTAGTTTTGTACACATGCCAGTTCACCTGCTTGCTCAAAATACGGCTCGGTTCTCATAACGTCAAACTCGAGTTTATGCGCTCAAGCGTTTAGGGGTTTCAGCTTAAGCCTGATGTAAAGACGGATAACTGGATCAGCCGTACCTCGAGTATTTCGGTGCTGATCTTCTTCTGCTCGATCTCTTCCTTCTCCAGTCGCTTTCGCGTCTCCTTCTCCACCCGGTTGTAGTGTTTCCAGTACGTCTGCATCTCCCGGGTGAGCCGCTTCATCCGGCCCAGTACGTCACGCTCCGCCTTCTGGGACTGGAACCAGCACAAACAGTAGTCATACACCAATAGGTCATAAGCGCCGCAGCACTTGGCGTCTTATTAGCATCACACACAGACGAAATAGCACCGCGTTTGCAGATACACCTCTTTGCTGCCAACCTATTCTCCGAAAACCACAAGGCTGACTAGGTTGGCCGTGCGAAAATGTGGCAGTGTGCTGGCCACAGATTCCAAATTACCAGCGGTAAAGTCATGGTGTCCATCGGCATAACGGACAGCGCACCGACGGCCAAACCCACCGACGTCGACGTCAGCATCACGCCACGTTATCTGACACCACGGCCCGCCGACATCAGCTCGTCCCGACCCGGACGTACCAGTGCGGCCTTCCAGCGGACGGCGGAGGCAGACCCTGCCCGCCGACATCAGCTGGTGCCCCGCCCACACCCGGACGTACCAGGACGGCCTTCTGACGGACGGCGGAGGCAGAACCCACTCGCTAACATCAGCTCGTCCTTCACCCCCTTCCCCCGACGTACCAGGACGGCCTTCTGACGAGCGGCGCGCATACAGCCGGTGGCCAGCCGCTTCAGGATGACCATCTTGTCCTTGCGGCCGTTGACCAGTGAGCGCTGCACTTTGCCGATCTCCTTCTTGCTGATGTAAAGCCACAGCTTGCGGCGCTGCGTGGCCAGAGCCTGCCGCCGGACGGAGAGACATGGTCAGCAGCGCCGGCCAGGCCGCTGCCAGGCAGACAGCAGCGGCATGCCTTCTACAGTCGACTCGTGGAGGGTAAAAAAGGCAACCCAGCCGAAAGTATGGCTATCAGCACGGCCATGAGCACAGCCAGCAGATGAGCATGGCGTTTATGTGAGCTAAGTATGCCAAGTGCCGTGGTGGGAGGCGGGAGCATATGACGGCAAACAACGTACTTGCGGGAGCTAGAACTGTGCCAATAATGTCATGGATGACGAACAGCAGCGCTGATGCACTTAGCAGTTCCCCGGCATACTCGACATTCAAAAATACAGCCGCAATCGGCACACAGCACGGCACCTTGAGTGTGTCCTTCTCCTGTTTGATGGCCTTCTTGGTGCGCTTTTCGGCGGTTCCGCGAGCTTTCTTGGCGGCGCCGTAGCGGGGCCCTCTGTCGGTGTCCGGTTCTCCGAGCTCCATGTCCAACCCAGCGTCCACCGACAGGAAACTCTGCATACACGCGCACGCCGCAGGTAACCGCCGTCCAACACAGCGTTGTACAATATCGGACTTGTAAAAACCGTAGCATTGCGAAAAACAAAAACAAAAAAACAGACAAATAGCGAACGGCAAAAAACTGCAGAGACAACAAAGCCGCAAGATTATACAAGGCACCCGCAATTCAACGCTATACGTGTTTGTGCCCACAGCTCGCATACAACAATTCTTATAAGAGTGAAACACGCCGCGACCGACGAGGCGCCGACGCCAGCGCTGCAGCTCGGCTCGAGGCCGGATGGGCGGCGTCGCAGCGTGCCGTACCTCCTCGTTGTCGGCGTCCTCGTCGGGTCGGGCGGCGGCGCCGGGTCCGGGCGCCGCCGCGCCAGCCGACGGGTGTCGGTCCAGCTCGCTCAGCAGGCCGGCCGAGTAGTACATGTGCCCGCTCGGCTGCCGGTCCGCAGACGAGGAATGTCAGTGGCGTAAAGCGTCGCGCAGCGTCGTGGCAACAGAGGGCGAATACTGGGCACCAGATGGGCGGCGTGAGCCGCCGTCTAATTACAACAGGCCTCAGTCGCTCATCCGTTGGACAACACAGGACACTTCCTGCCGAGAAACGCCTCACCACATGGAGTTCTATCCGTTATTCTCCGTTTTAAAAGTGTCGGTACGTGGCGGTCCCTCGCATCACACCAACCCTGCCGATGACCAGCCGCACGCCGCCAGGCAGGCAGCGATCCGGCACCACCCTGCCCGGCCGTCACCGGAGGGCGCGGCACCACCCACCACCGGGTTGAGCTGGTACTGTCGGCTGAGCTTGTTCTTCATGCGGTGCTGCTGTAACATGCGCGCCAGGTCCAGCTGACTGAGGGGCCGCTCCAGCTCGGCCGCCTCGTCCGGCCACTCATCCTCGGACGAGCCGAGCAGGTCGGCGGCCAGCAGGCGGCGCGCGCGGCTCAGCTCGGCCCCGTCCTGCCACGAGCCGCCTGCAGGGCCCACTGACGGGTCAGCCGACCGCGGCCCGCCCGGGCTGACGGCCGACAGTCACCAACAGCACCTACCACAGCCTGCTCCCCATTCAGGCCGATGGCAGTCCGATTAGCCAGTCTCCATGGCCACACGACGGCAAGCAACTCAAATAAACAGTCGGCGCTGATAGTAAAGTGCGACAATACGTGAAAGATCAGTGCTTGCTGCAGGGAGAGGAGAACATAAAAATGCCCTGCTCAAAGTCACCAACGCCTCACACGGCCGACCTCACGCCTATGCGGACGTGTCGGAGAGGCAGCCCATCAACATTTTATAGAACAATTTAGACGAAGCATCAACATGATGCGAGTAGCCATGATGAGGAGTGCTTAGTGTTATGACTACTGAGCCATTCTGCTGCTAGCGTTCCCCCGCTGGAATGGCGCTGCGGCGGCACCGACCGTAGGCCATCTCTCCCCCCACTGAAGCACCCCCACCGACCGTAGTCTGGCAGCGGTGGCAGGTCGGGCTCGCTGTCGGCTGTCTCCACATCCGACGGCTCGGCCAGCTCAGCCAGGCTGGCCGACAGGCCGTCCGGCAGCCGCTCCCATTCTGTCACACTGCCAGCCAGCCAGCCGCAACACTAGTAACAATGTAACAACTAACACTCACCAAGGCAATCATATTCCATCAAACAAGATGGCCAAATACAGCAGCATTCACAGCAAGACAGTTCACACCACTGGATTCTGCAGTCATGTTGCAGATGTGCCAACTTCAAACTTCAAGCCAACAGACACAGAATGCAGAAGTGCAAAGATGAAGCAAATGCTTTATTGTGTCTGATGGGACCTTTACACACACACACCTATTAAGCGTAATATCATATGTCAAGAAAACACAATTTGGGCTGACAACTGTGCCAGGCAATGACCATTGCCACATGGAAGCCAACTATCATTGGCCAGAGGGTTGATACATCTTTGCCAGTTGGCCCAAAACCGAGCTGAGGCCATGACACAAACCAGTGGAGGGTCTAGGGCCTGGAATAACCAACCATGCCCAGACTACTTCAGGTTATCTGGTGCAACCTCCTTTCAGGTTAAAGCTAATGCAGGTAAATGCTCAAGAACATACATTGCAAATAGTTGTATTACTATTAGATAATATACGTTACTGATAGGGAGGGGAATTGATCCCCATTCTGGGCTCATGAACAAGACGGATAAGCATGTTGTACCAACCATTTTCAGTACTTGTTTGGGTACTTGCATGGTACAAGTTACATTACCAGCATGTCTTTTGTGCACCTGAAATTACCCTTACCTTCCAAGGTTATCTGAAGATTTCCTGATCTGGTCAATTAACCCAGTAAGATCTAGGGCTCTTTCCAGCCTTTGTATATGCAGTGGTACAGCAATCCCATTGCGTCCCGACATGACACAAGCATGTGTCTGCAACTCTGAAACAAAAACACACCATGAGTACAGTTTGGCCCACACTTAATGATGGTTGTACCCTCAGCACATAGAGTACTTGCTGTAAAATATCTAACCATTGTAAGAGGGAATTTAACATGATCCTGGTGCATTTCCATTAATGACAACCACATCCAAAGGCATGCCACAATGAGTGCAACACAAGACAATCAAGCATGAGCTGGATGTGTGGGATATCTGATAGGAAGGAGTTGTAAATAGTGTGATGCTGTACTTCACTTTAAAAAGCAGAATAGACTACTGTTATGCAAAACCTAACCATAATTTGGTCTATTGCACAGAAATAACTTCCTACACCATTCTGCTGGGATCAGCGGTCATTTCTGAACTACAACTGAGAAAGCTGTTCAGTTGAGAATGAAGAGGCAAGGACCCAACACGTGGCTGGCATAGGTCACACAACCCACCTCCTTCACAACACCACTGCCAGGTGACAGGCAACCAGTCATCCACCTGCCACCTTAGAGTAGCAAAGCAAAACAGGAGGGGCAATAACAGCCTAATATTTTACCTGCATGGCCAAGTGACCTTGACTTATCAGCTGAAAAACTTTCAATGTTGTCAAAGTTGTGAAATGTCTCATACACATTAGCTATGCTGTCTGTGAATGTTGAAGTGTTCCTGAGGAGTATCAACTTGTACAAGCGATGATTGGAAATGACCACAGCCTGGACATTGCGGGACCAAGACAGTCAGAATCCCCTTAAGTTACCGAAAAAACTATATTACATCAGCCCACCTTCCAAGCTGGAACCACTGTTCCTCCGGCGGCTTGTTCCTTAAGGTTTTCTTGCTCCCTGCCACTCACCTCGGTATACACTATCCCTTCAGTACAAGGGCGCACCGCCGCTGATCAATCGCTGACAACATCAATTAAAAGACCGCAGGCAACCTAACTAATTCACTGGCACCACTTATTGATGGCTGGCCTCTGCAAAACCATTCAGGCGCCAGGAAAGCGTGCAAAATTGGCAGCTCTTAAAATGAGTCGATGCTACCGTGAATCCATTCAACAAGCATAAAGTACTTGCATGACAAGACACGGAGTATCATGAAAAAACAAAACCCCGAAAAGGTAATCTAAGTGGGTTTTGTGTCATGAAACTGTCAATTTAAGCCATATTCGGGGCGCTCTGCAATAATGACATCATTAAATATTCAGAGAACGCTACCATATGTCACAACTTCGTAGCTGATAAGTGCGCTTCTTACGCGTTGCGCGAGTTCTTCCTTATCCCGTTTCCGACCATTTAACAATCATCTATTGATGTTCCGTCCCTTTTTACAGTGTGCGTGAGAAAAACGCACTCGTCATGCCCTCCATCTCATCGAAACCACACTGCAGCACTGGCTGACAATTTATCAAGATACCTGTTCCCACAGGATTAGGCCCCGCGGGGGCACCGGTTTCGGTCGGTGTAGGGGACTAGCGCCCCCTCGGGTCCCAGCTCCGGTAGCGCTGAATCCGGTAGGACAGCGTAGGCTGTTCCTCCCAGGGCGTAGCGACCCTGCCGGTACGTGAGCCCCCGCTCCTTGTCCCGCCTGCTTCCCCCCCCCCCCCCCCCATTACCCGCTTTCCAGCATCCGGCCCACTCGTCACTCCTAACCCTCGTTTATCGGGGTCGCCGTGCCCCCTCACCCGCGACCCCGGGTTGATCGGATCCTGGTGGCTGAGGGACGCGTCGTGAGGGTCAGTCGCGGCGCGTCCCAACACTCCACTTCAGCCAGGATATCCGGGGGTGTGGGGGGGGGGGGGGGCCGTGGGGCCCCACACGGGTCTAGCGGTTTGTCGCTCGCATTGCGGTTGGGAACTCCTCGCGGGTCTCCGCTTGAGGCGCCTGACCGCGCTCAGCGGCTTAAGGGGTCAGGGGGCGGCGGCGCTGGACCACGGTCAGAGCGGGGAGGGGTCTCCCCGGGTACACCTGGCCGTGTGGGAGGTGTCGTTCGCCCCGTATAGCACCGGGGTAGCCCTGGCGATGACCTCCTCCCGAGGTAGTGTTGGACCGTCCCCCAATTGGGCTCCGTGGTGGGTGGGGAGCCCCGGTGCCGTATGCTTCAAAAAACTCGCATGCATTTTCATTCAACCAACCCCAATGGGAATGACACCTTATCTCAGACGGCTCGGCTGACGACGATGGACGACCGTTCCTCCCCTTCGGCGGAGGGGCGAAGCGGTCTTTCCGGCACGGGTGAAAGACCGCTGCCACGGACTGATTCCCGCTCCACCCCGTTGGAGCGGACTAGAGGTGGGAGAGTGGGAGTACCGGGGACTACCGGGCAGACTGCTCGGTCTTGCTCCCGGGTTCTTGTGCTTGCCAGTAGTGAAAAGGATCTGTCTAGTCTGTCGCCCTTTCAGCGGCGTAGCGGATGTGATCGGCTTGGCAAGTTGACGCGCTGTGACAAGCTTAGAAATGAAACGATCGAAGTGGAGTTTTTGAATGCAGCGGAAGCCAAAAAGACGATGAAGGCAACGCCATTCACATACACGGTCAGAGATAAAGATGGAAGGCGAGACGTCACTTTACCCATCATGGTGACGGCTCACAAAACGAAAAGCTGTTCTCGCGGGATCATTGACTGTGTTGACCTGGAGGGTGTCAGCGAGGAGGATATCATGAATGATCTGTCTGGTTTCGGTGTCGTGGAAGCTCATCGGATCCAGGTCAGGAGAGCGGAGCACCTGGTCCCAACAAACACTATTATCCCGACTTTCAACCGCGTGGATCTTCCTTCAAAAAAGTCGTCGGTTACGTGAAAGTGAAAATTCGTCTGTACATTCCCAACCCCATGCGTTGTTTTTGATGTCTTCGTTTTGTCCATACAAGAGTACTGCAGGAACAAACCGTCTTATGGGAAGTGTGCTGAAACTGACCATACTAGCGAGAACTACAGCGCTGTGCGACAGAAATGTGTGAATTGCGACAGAAACCAGATCCTGCGCACGACATTTGACCGTGCTTGTTCGGCGTACTCTCGAAAGAAAGAGATTATCTCCATCAAGTGCGCCCGGCGCATCTCTGTCCGAGAGAAGAGAGAGGGAGATTTACCATAGCTCGCATCCCAAAGTAGCTTACGCGAGTGTAGCGACTAGCTCCCACTCAAACGTGGTTCATCGTGAGGCCAGCTCGGACCGTATGAACTTGACGCAGTTTATCGCACTTCTCCAGTCATTTGGGTTGACTTGCAGACCGGCAACGGGTTCGCATGCTTCGTCTGCGTCCGCGGCGCCCACCGCACCGCCGGTAGCTGCGGCAAGACACTGGAGGGCGAGGGGTGGACTCTGGTTGGTCGGGGTCGGGAGGGGCGCCCCTCCCGAGCAAATCAGACACGTTCTGGGAAATAGGCGCCGACCACTGTGCCGACCACGGCGCCTCCCCCAACTGTGAACCGAACTTCACCTAGCGAGACAGTGATGGAGGCCTTGCGTGAACGTGGTGAGAAGGGCCCGCGGGGCCAGGCGAGCGCGTCTGGTCGAGCAGGCGAGGGTGGCCAGGCGGTCCCCGGGACTACCGATTCCTCGGCCCCGGTGGGGGACGGCGAGAAGTCTTCTCCCTTGGAGTCCGCCGGGGCGTCGGTGCCGGCGGTGGCTGGCGGTGCGCCATCCTCTGCGGTGGCTGATGGGGTGCCGTCCTCCTTGGGAGGGAGCGCTTCCACGCCTAGCAAGCACGTTGGGCCGCCGCTTGTTCCGTCCCGAATGGGTACCCCGCCGCCTCCTCCGCCTTCCGCTGCGCCTGCTCAGTCCCTCCCCCCCCCCCCCCACGGCGACCTCGCCGTTTTCTCCGAGGCGGTCATATCCTCCTTCCGCCCCGGGCCCCCGGGGCGGACTGGAGGATACGGGACCGGGCCCTTCGTCTGGTGCAACGGAACACTTCTAGTCAGCTTAGTCCTTTTTACAATCCGTAACAGTTTTATGTCACCTTTTAACGCAGCCCATCTTGTTCTTAGCTTCGTAGTTTTCAGCTTCATTTTTAACCAGGTTTTATGCAGGCTATTCTGCAATGGAACTGTACAGGCTTACGAATCAGTGCCCAGGACTTACACGCTGTGCTTAGTCACCGTTGTCCGGTTGTGGTCTGCCTCCGGGAGACGAAGCTGTCGCCGGATTCTCACTGCACCATCAAAGGTTGCTCAATATTTGGAAAAAATGTGCTACCAGACACTGTGGCGCACGGTGGTGTGCTGTCAGCAGTGCACCACAGTGTGCCTGCGCAGCAGCTGATGTTGCAAACCTCGCTCCAAGCTGTTGCTGCACGTGTACATTTTAATCGCCTTGTAACCCTATGCGCAGTGTATTTACCCCGGGGCTCAGTTTTTCATTGGTGCAGCTGAGACAGTTGATGGCAGAGCTCCCTCCGCCTTTGGTTATCTTGGGGCTCAGGCAATTGATGGCAGAGCTCCCTCCGCCTTTGGTTATCTTGGGGCTCAGACAGTTGATGGCAGAGCTCCCCCCGCCTTTGGTTATCTTGGGAGATTTTAGCGCACACCATACCGTTTGGGGTTGTGATGACAGCAACGCGCGGTGACGTTCTTTAGAGTAATTTACTCACGAGGAGTCGCTCTGTGCATTGAATACGGGATCTAGGGCGCATTTTACGTTACCGTCAGGTCAGACGTCGGTTTTGGACCTAAGCCTTGTGAGTCCACAGCTCGCGCAGCTTTTTACGCGGACTATAGCGGACGACCCTATGGGAGGCGACCACTTCCCAGTGTGGTTGGAGTACTACGACGGAGCGGTTCTCGGTCCCCGACCACGACGATGGAATCTCAAAAAAGCAGATTGGAGTGAGTTTGAGTCTCAGCTAGAGATGGGCTTTGGTGCACAGGCCGTGGATGATGCAAACTACTCGATCGAACGCTTCACGCCCGCGCTTTGACGTGCAGCGAGCGCAAGCATCCCAAAGACATCTGGGGCTCCTCGTCGCACCCCGGTGCCGTGGTGGGCCGAAGAGTGCCGAGCTGTGATCCGGGCAGGTAGGCGGGCCTTTCGGGCCTTCGACCGCCACGCCGCAACCGATGATTTAATCGCATTTAGGAAAGCGAGTGCTTTGGCCCGGCGCACCATCCGGGAGGCAAAGCGCGTATCCTGGCAAGAATATGTGGGACGCCTAAATCGTGTCAATCCTATGTCGCAAGTATGGTCGCAGATTAAGCATATCTCTGGCCAGTTTTCCGCAGGTCCTCCACCGGTTCTTGAGATTGGTGGGCGGAACATTTTGCAGCCTGCTGACGTCGCTAACGAGATCGGTCGTGCGCTTGCGGAATATTTTGGAGACGGTAACGTTGATCCCCAGTTCCTGCGTCATAATGCGCGTTGTGAGGCCAGTCCAGTGGACTTTTCCACCTCTGTACACCCTGCCTACAACGAACCACTTACAATGGTGGAACTGAGGGCAGCTGTTAGCAGGCTTCGGGGCGTATCAGAGGGTCCTGACGAGATACATAACGACATGATTCGACATCTATCCATCTGCGTACTAAACGTTCTTTTGGCCATTTTTAATCGTCTTTGGGGACGAGATGAATTTCCAAACATTTGGCGAGAGGCTGTTGTGGTGCCCCTTTTAAAGACAGGTAAGAGCGGCAACGGTCCGCTTCACAACAGGCCCATCTCTCTTACGCCTTCACTGTGCAAGCTGATGGAGAGACTCGTCAATGGTCGTCTTTTGTGGTTTTCAGAGAAACATCCCATTTTGACTGATTCTCAGTGTGGTTTTAGGAAACACCTTTACACACTGGACCATCTTTTTACATTGGAAACTGTTGTCCGCGCTACTTTTTAACAGCGTCGCCATGGGGGAGCTGTGTTCTTTGACATAGAGGGCGGTTACGATACCACATGACAACATGGTATGCTTATGAAAGCTTTTAAGCGCGGTATTCGTGGTAACCTGGGCTTTTTTTTACAGAACTTCTTAGCAGAACGTTTTTTCGCGTCTGTG